TAGAGACGTTTTACGTTTCTTGTGGAGAGGCAAGCGGCGGGAGGATCAACCGGAAGAATATAGGATGACGTCAATCATCTTTGGAGCGACATCATCACCATGTACAGCATTATACATCAAAAATAAAAATGCTGAAGAACATGCAGAGGCATACCCAGAAGCTGCGGTCGCCATAAAAAGAAATCACTATATGGACGACTACTTGCAGAGCTTCCACTCTGTCACGGAAGCTCAGCAAACGGTAAAAGCAGTCGATCACGTCCACAAACAAGCGGGATTCGTACTCAGCGGGTGGACATCGAACGAAGAGAAAACGACACCGGGGAAGAACGAGAAGTATGTAGCATCGCAGTTAAAAGTTAAGACTAGCCAACAACACATCTGCCACAAATAGAAAGATTTTCAAAATGGATTCGCCTCATAAGGGCGACAGCGAGAGTCCTCCTATTCATCGACATGTGCAGACCAAACAAGCACGTGGTGAAGGCTGGGCGTAAACGCAACAGAGCAAGACAAGACAGCGACCCTGGCTGGCAAAGAACAAACAGACACAACATCCCCGCCAATGAGAAAAATGCAACTCCTACTGTCTCATCGCTTGTAGGAATACCGGCCGCTTATCACATAAAAGCCGAACAACTGTGGGTGCAAGCCAGTCAGCGGGAAAGCTTGACGAAGGAGCTCAAGAGGATCGCCAACGGAAGTGTTCCGGGAGGCGACGACAAATTAGACCACCTGAGCACATACGTCGATGAAGAGGGGACCCTACGCCTCAGAGGTCGAATATAAGCAGCATCAGAAGTGGAGGAGGACACGTACGACCCTCCCATACTAGACGGGAAGCACGCATACACTCGTCTGTACATAGCACACGTACACGAGAGGTTGCAGCACGGAGGCGTGGAAACAGTCGTGAACGAATTAAGACAGAGATTGTACATAAGGAAAATACGTCCAGTAGTGAAAACTGTCGTCAAAGGCTGCCTACCGTGCCGTCAAAAAAAAGCCAAGCCTGCATCACCGTCTACAGGAAATCTGCCGTCCGCACGCCTCGCTCATCACGCACGTCCGTCACATACACCGGACTGGACTACTTCGGGCCAATAGAGGTCACAGTGGGACGACATCGTGAAAAGCGCTATGGCGCGTTATTTACCTGCATGACATCACAAGCAATACATATAGAGGTAGCCCACTCGTTAAGCGCCGACTCAGCCGTGTCGGCGCTCAGGCGTTTTATGAGCAGAAGAGGATGCCCAAAAGAAATCTGGAGTGACAACGCTACGTACTTCAAGACAACAGACAAGGAGCTGGCCGAATCAGCACTTGCAGCCCTCGAGCACGAAACCACATGTCGACAAATTGTGTGGAAGTACATACCACCATCAGCACCGTTCATGGGCGGCGCACGGGAGCGAATGGTTCGCTCCGTGAAAGAAGCTCTACGCGTCACCCTCAACGAGCGCTATCCCAGTGACGAGACATTGGTGACCCTGCTCGCCGAGGTCGAAAACACGGTTAACTCAAGACCTCTCACACACGTCTCAGTCGACCCAGGAGACCCAGAAGCCATCACGCCGAATCACATTATCATCGCTCCCAACTCGCACATACCTGCGCCGGGACACTTCAGCGAGAGCGATGTGACGGCCCGCCAGCAGTGGAAACAAGCTCAATCCCTAGCCGACGTGTTTTGGAGAAGATGGGTAAAAGAATACCTGCCCCTACTCCAACACCGGCGGGAGCCCAGCAGCATAGGCGTATCGCCGAAGATTGGAGACCTAGTCATCATTTGTGACTCCAATCTACCACGCAACATCTGGCCCAGGGGAAAAATAAGAAAATAATGAGAGGTACGAGTAGTGGACGTAACCACTGGCAGTGGGCATGTACTACGAAGACCGACAAAAATGATCGTCGTGCTACCAAAGGGATCGCAGCGTGGCGACGGCGGGAGAATGTGCACGACGCAAACAACGTGATACGTCGAACGAAATACGTGCTTGTCGTAACCGACGCTAGTTGAACAACCTAGGGGCGGTGGGCGGAGCCCACCAGTGGGGTGTTACGATCGTCGGGCCGCACTCACGGTTCGACAACTAGCGATGGTTGCACACAGCAACGCGGAAAAAACAAGCGCAGCCTTATTCAGAATGTTAAAAAATATATAACTTTGTATTTAATGATAAAAAGAATAGTATTGTAACTATACACTAACTCTCCAAATAAAGACACCGAATGAATAGCGAGAGTTAGCATAGATTTAAAATGTAAATTAATTATTGTAATTAGTTAATATAAATTGTATTTGTTCTTATATCTAACTTACCTTTCTTGTATATTAAGCCCTTAGGCACGTAAAATAAGATGTTATCAACAGGGCATGTTATCGTGACGCGGCCGCGAAGCAAATGAGGCTACGCGCACCGCGCCACGACTTTTTATATTTATAGTGCTGAGGCGGGGGGCAGGGTCCTCAGCCTAAAGTTGTCAAAAGCAAAGTTTTAACCTTTTTAATATGTAAAAAAATTGTTGTGTACATAATAAGTAGTTATAAGAATATTATATATTTAATTCTGTTTGTTAGTTCGTAAGAGATATATTCCAATAAAGAAAGGCGCGGGGGTGAGGCAAGGGTCCGCTGGCCAGCAACGGCCAAACCATATAAAAGACGGGCCGGCCGGTACGGTCGGCAGTCGCTCTCCAGCCACCGAAAAGAAAATACATCAAGAAAAAGTACAAGTTCCTCCTAACCGGCGCTTGCCTCCTGTTTAAGCAAGACCAACGCCTTTCATTCATTTTTCGAACGGCGTTACGGCGATCCGTAACAACCATTTTCCTGCAACCATTTTTACATAGATTCTTTGCGTGCCACTGAAGTCGGTGGTTTATCAATCTGGCGGCTGTGATACGGTGCATTATCAAGTACAAGAATGCTATTGGGAGGTAAGTTGGGTAGGAGTTTTTCCTGTACATACTTTTTGAAATTATTTGCGTCCATTTCATTATGGTAGTCCCCTGCAGTGCTTTTGCATTTATAAAGGAGTTCGGCACCTTTGACAAAACCATTCTCGCTGCCAGCATGGACCATGTGTATCCACGTTTAATCCCAATATATGACTGGTTTTTTATAGACTCCCTGTTCATCATTTTCACGTAATCTCCGCAAGTAACGTGCTCTCCATGCTACTATCTCCGGTTTCTGAATAAGATATTGTCTTATGTTTTTACATTTTGTAAACTTATATCCAAGTCTCGTTTTTATAATTTTCCAGAGAGTGACTTTTTGCCCAGGAAAATTGAAATCTTTCTTTGCTTCTGCTAATATTTTGCGCAGCGTGGGAACTTCCTTTTTAACTGTGTAGGAACGGTCAATTATGTTTCGAATCAAACACACCATGAAATCATCTATTTCCAACCTATTTGTGGCTATTTTCCTTTTTCTCGGTGACGTCAATTTTATTTCTTGTGTACTTGAAGTACTGGGTTCTTTTCATTTTCCAAAAACTTAATTTCTATTTCCGACGGTGCATCAGGCTGAGTGGGCAGTGTGCTGGCACAAGTATCACGTGAGTTTTCATTTTTTAATTTGGCAATACTTTTCATAGCTACGACATCTTGAACATCATAAGACGTTATCAACTGCTTTTCAACCTTTTCTTGTTCAAAGAATGTCATTATCTTATATAGTAAATTGCGTTCGCCACTGTGCAAGACCTTTCCTCTTTTACTCATTATAACAAAACAAATTAACGAATATCAACAGAAACAAAAACAAAAAATCAACAGTAACAAAAACAACAGCAAAAACAGTAACAAACTAGAGAACGTACGGGAGCATAAAAAACGGACATAAGTACACTTCGACGTTGCTATCGGTACTAAAAGGGCGACGCTTGAGGCGCGGTGGGAGGTAACGTAACATTCTTGAAGTGAACGACTAGTATACAATTAATATAGCTGCAGCATGGCTATACCACGTAAAAAGTAACTAAACATAATCAAGTAACGGCAAATTCAATGAGGGTGGGTAGCTTTATCCGCTGCAATAAGATAGACTCAGGTAGCGAGTGGTGCACAGCGGTGGCACATACTTATTGTTATTGACATTTATGTCCCCGCCACCTTCTATAAGTACTATGGCTATAACCTTTGTGCAAGTGCAAGCAATATGTTGACAAAGTTTTACGTCAATCTGATGAACAGTATGGTTGTGCATAAAATATGAACAAACAAAAATTAATTTTTATATATTAGATATTATGTCATATATATTTCGAATGCTAAAATTAAGTGTAAAACCACTAGTTCTAAAACTACATGCATTGTAGTAATTAATTTTGCTGGTAATGTACCTTCACCAACTTTTATTATTTTTTAGATTTTCAAAATGCCCAGAAATAAGACGTTATAACTGGGACCCCAATAAATTTATTCAAGGGTCGTAGGTTTATTGGGGTATACAAAATGTTGTTAAGACTTATTAAATAACAATTCCAGATCTTTTACTCAACATGACATATTTTCACTATTTTAAATTAATTTTAGCTAAACTTTACTGCAATGTTTTGATCAACTATTTGGTTATGAACTGATACAGTTTACACAGCCAGTACGCCATTGTCAAACTTATATGGAAGATCTCTTTTACTCATAGCTAGACTCTGTAGAATAGACAAAGATACACAACCAACAGTTAGAAATACAGATATAAGAATGGCAGTCTTATGACTATGTCCAGTATGATACTTTGTTCAAGTACATACTGAACCACAATAAGTAACTGTATGCCTGACGACATACACACCCAGAGATGTCCTGACATATACTATCTCATGTCTTGTGACACTACCCTTTAGCAATGCAAGAAAATTTGTAGTGTCAAGGCAGGGTCAACTATCAGTACTGTCCTTCATAGTCTTAAACTGAGCTATGCAAATTCACAATAATTATCACTATTCTTTATGCAAAATATATTTCTTGAAACAAAATACAAAATGTTAATTGTCATCAGATGCCATATGCCTTATTAAATTAGATATAAATTTGTCTATTTTCCGAACATCTTGCTGCACCTCTGTTTTGTATTGAAGACACTGCAACAAAAATATTTTTAACATAAAATCTTTGTAGTTTTGGCTCTTCATGTTGTTTAATATAGCATAAACAAAATTCATCAAATTTGGATTACAGAAAAGAGCATATTAATGCTAATTTACATAAGAAAATTAGAAAGTTTAACTAAAGAATGGATAAAGAAGTTATCTTTCTATATTTAAAAATCCCAATGTGCATTTATTATTAATTCTACTTCTAAAATGGGCTAATAGTACTTTTGGGTTTCATAGCAATAGTTGGATCTGTTACGATGCACTGTTGTTAAGATCCTGAAATCAACCATGCGGAGCCTGGGCAGGCTTCTAGTATAAACATATAAATAAACTTTAAGTGTCTGTCTGTAATACTGAAATAACTTCATCTTATCATGAGCTCAAGAGGTTATTTGCATGCCATTAAAACATTAATCAACATTTTTTTTAAATATCTGTTTGTCCGGGCTAAACTTCAGAATAGCTGAATAGATTTTAATGAAATTTTACCAACAGATACAGAGCAATGCCAGGAGTGATGAAGGCTATATTTTATTTGAATAACTTGGAGAATTTATATGGTCTTTACCATAATATTGCATTACAAATTATAGGTTAAATTATATATATATATTACTGACATTATAGGTACAAGTTGGGGCGGATCACTAGTGAGTAAATAAAATTAAAATAGTTATTGCCCATTCTAGATAGACATTACGATAACTTTGCACTCTTACCTTTTTGTTGTCTGTTATTTTAACTAAAAATACTCCCTTTGAATGTGAGTATTTCATACTATATCGAGTATTTATAGGATCACGTAAGTATAACATTTCTGCAGACTTCTCAAATTCTTCCCAGTTTGGTATAAAAGTCATATTGGTGTTCTTCTATAAAGAGCCTATAATCACTATGTGTCCTATGTATACTGTTTAATATTTTGATTAGTTGTAAATTAATGAAACAGTTACAATACTTTTATCTAAATATTCTAAATCGAATCTTTGATTTTCTCCCCACGATTTACTATAATTGCACTGAATTATCCATAGATTAGGGATGTTCGATGATCATCGATGTTAAAAATTAATCCATCGATGTTGACATATGTCAAACATCGAAACATCGATTTTAATGAACCCATAATCGATTATTGTGAAATTGCGAACAATGCGAACCCGCGAAATTAATATCAACCAAATCTAGCATCTCCTCTGAAGATTTAAAATTTTGAATAATTCACAATTCCTGAACGCATCGCTAACCCAAAAAATATCATTATGGTGTGTCAAACTTAATTGTCAAGTGTCACCTGTAATGTCACAGTGGTCACTGCTTTCGCTTTATTTTGGAGTGTCGTTGTCGGTTGTCGCATAATAACTATTCTACGTAAATTAATATTCAAGCTAATTGTTACTTTTTCCATTGCTTTGTTTACCCACATAATTTTGAAGCAATATGTAAGTATCTACACATATTCAAGAAACATCGATAATGGTCAACATCGATGTTTTGAGTAGACTAAACATCTAACATCGATGTTGAGCTACCGATGCCAACATCGATGTCATCATCGATGTTTTGGCAAAATCATTCATCCCTACCATAGATAAATAAACATTAGGCTTGGGCAAAAATATTGATATATTGAAATATCGATATTTTTTAATAAAAATGTCGATATATAACGTCAATATTTTAAATAGCGATATTTATTTTGGAGTATCGAATTCGTATCACTTTCGATATATTTTAAAATGTTGTATAAATGACAAAACATGTAACAATAAAAGGAGGTACATAAGTATTCATGTGTGGTTGGTTGTCGTTTTTTTTTGTCGTCCACCCGTCAGTAATATAAAGTTTTGGACTTTATCTTTATATCATGCAAATGATGAGGATATATCGATATTTATCACGGGATATATACTGTTTAAATATATCGATTCGATATATATAGACATTTTTTCCCTTACCCATCCCTAATAAATATGTAGCAAGCTACAGATACGACACATTTTTTTCTATCTGGCGTAATAAAGGCTCTAGGAAGCACGTAAATATAGTCAAAGACCCTGTACGAGTTCAAAAAAGTAATTGGTTTTTTATCCATAACTCTTCGATTCTAACGATCTTTTTAAAAAACCATTTTGTTGATTTTTAAGGGCTATACGATCAAATTAGTTTAATACTATTTCTGCCTTTATTTTTGAAAGGGTTTAAGCTGAAAGGGCTCGAACAAATTGCTTTTTACATAAATATGCAGTATGCAAACTTGGTGCTTATTATTGTGATGATTACTTTAGAAGTGAATTCTTAATTCCCATAAGTACTAATTATTTATTTCTTTTTTTCCAGATAAAAGAAAGAGACCTTCAGGTGCGAAGTTTCGCGAGCAAAAGAAACTGAGACTACAAGAAAGGCAAAAATGGCTGGATCTTTAAATCACTTCTTGCAAAACAATCAAGATTCCACGGAGACTATCGATACGACCGAATCTCATGATTCTAAATCCGTAATATCAGTAACCATGAGTGGACCATCTGAAATTTCAACAGAAGTGACTACGGTAACATCAGGTCCTACAAAAAGTGGCGGCGGTTGTAGTAGCCAAACAGCTTCTAGCTTCTACTGATGCAGAGCCCGATGAAGCGATGACACCACCCTCGTCTACAGCACTTGAACAATCCACTTCAGGTTATTCAGCTTGTGTAAGAAGTTCGGTAATGTCAGCTACCGAAATACCTGCTGCAAGTGACACATTCGATGAAGGCTTTAATAAGGTTAGCGTCGATATAATTCCATCCAACCCCAGTTTGTGGCCCGAAATAATCACCAATGAGATAGCTAGAATATTGGTTAAACGTGGTCCACCCTTGTCAGTTTTAGCTTTCCTAGTAATAAGGATAAGAGAAAGTTTTCGTGCAAATACTTTGTAAGAAGTCTCGCAAATGGAGAAAAAATACTGTATTTTGTTTTTGTTGTAAGTTGTTTTGTAAAACTCCTAACACTTTTTGTGATACAGATGGAGTATCTGATTGGCAACACTTGTCTTTGCTAATAAAGAGACACGAAACGTCAATTTTACACAATAGTTATATTAATTCTCATCACCTGCGGATTTTAGAAACGGAAAAAAATATTGGCGCAACGTGTTGGAAAGAATTATTGGGATTGTTAAGTATTTATCTACACAATGCTTGGCATATCAAGGTTCTTCGAAATAACTTTTCGAACATGATAATGGAAAGAACATCGATCACGGCCCATACATGCAGTGACCTGGCTATAAAATATCGCGAACATGACTAGTGCATGGATTAATCCGTTCCACCTGGGCACAATCTCAATCCTAAATTAAAAATATATTATTTAAAAGCCGAGGATCATAGAACGTTACACTTATTTATTTCGTCACTTTTGAGGTTATGATGTAGCCATGACTGCAGCCATGACTACAACCTCAGCTAAAACAATTGATATGAAAACTATGCAGTAATATATACTTAACTAAATAGAACAAGTCAATGACTAAAACCACAAAAATGAATCAATAACCTTTCTAATCTTTTCACTGCTAAGTATCTGAGACACAGGTGCTTTGACTTTTGCTCACGCTTTGACAGCTCTCGTGTCATAATCCATGCATAGAGACACTCATAATACGTTCCGTCCTAAGTATTAGTGCATTCTATATTTACTGTCAACCTATCATTTGCAACTTATTTCGAAATACTTACCATTTCCCCATATAAAAATGATATTATTGATAATACACTACAAAAATATATAAAAAATCAGCAATAAAATCTAGTATTTAAAAAAAAATAACGCATAATGGTAGTGTGATTTTAGTGTTATGATGAAACGTGTACCACAGATAAAAACGGGACAGGTTTAGATGCGTTCAAAACCTATAAAAAGTTGTAAGGAAATGGGGCTTTTTATTAAAGAGCTAAATTATTTTACTGGCTCCAATAAAATAAGTTGGACCCCGTAATTTAATATACACCTATGTCACTATTTTTTGACGTATGACGTATTTCATTGGTGGTCGTTTCATATTTTGGTCAGGTCGTATTTGACCGATGTCCTTTGTAAAAGCTATTGAGGTGATTGCCTCTTTTGATTCAGTGATGAGACAGCACGTTAGCCGAGTGTGTAATTTCAAATAAAATGTGTTAAAATGACTCATTATTTAGGCGTGCACATACAGAATGAAATAATTGAATTATTGTCGTCTAAAGTAAGAAACAATATTTTAGAAATGGTTCGCAGTTCAAGATATTTTTCAATAATATTAGATTGTATACCAGACACTAGTCATATTGAGCAAATTAGTCTTGTTCTGAGTTATGTTGTCCTTAACACAACTTCAAAAAAGGTTGAAGTTAAGGAAAGTTTTATTACGTTTACCCAATACTGGACTCTAAAGGGAAAAGGGGTATATATATATTTGTGACAGGAATTTAAAAAAAATTAAATTTAGATATAAAATATATTAGGGGACAAGGTTTTGATAATGGGGCAAACATGAAGGGACAGCATGTTGGGCTTCAAAAACGCATTCTTGACGTGAATCCGAGAGCCCTTTTTATACTTTGTGCGGCTCATACTTTGAACTTAACAGTAAATGACGCTTCTAAAGTGTCAGATGCTACAATAAACTTTTTTAATCTTGTGCAAGAGTTATATAATTTTTTTCGTCATCTACAAAAAGGTGGGATATTCTGAGAAAAAAATATCCCTGGGTTAAGTTTAAAGCCTCTAAGTGAGACAAGATGATCCAGCAGAATTGATTCAGTGAAGCCATTTAAACTTTATTTAATTATGTTTTGCGAAAGTCTTCTAGAAGTAGCTGAAGATAATTCCTTTCATGATGCAAGACATAAAGCGAGTTCCCTCTTAACGTCTGTACAAAAATTTCAATTTATTTGCGGAATTATTATTTGGCATGACGTTTTATTTCACATAAATATTGTCAGCAAACAAATGCAAAGTGCTACAATTAATATTAAAGTATGCCAAACCTACCTAAAAAATTTAGTTGATCACTTCCAGCAGTATAGATCTGACCAATCGTTTGAAGAAAATCTTGTACAAGCGAAAGAAGTAGCACTCTCTCTCGAAATTGAAGAAGACTTTCCACCGTTACCAACGATCAGGAGGAAATTTAAATCAAAACTGTTTGACTACGAACACCGAGATGAGACCCCTCATGATCCAAAAACTGCCTTTAAAATTAGTTTTTTCTTAAAAATTATAGATCAAACATTAAGCTCTCTAAAAATCCGATTCGACTTATTAAATGAGTATGATAATATTTTCGGATTTATAGCGACATATTCAAATTAAGTGACAGCGATATTTTAAAACATTGTTCTGTTCTGAAAAACGACTGACAGATCAGGATAATAAGGATATAGACTCCAATGATTTGTTTAATGAAATTAAAGCGTTAAAGTTGTTTTCATTACCTGATGATACTGACCCCTTAAGTAATGTACAATATATATATTTGAAAACAATTTAATTTCCACCTTTCCAAACATAAGCATTTCACTAAGAATTCTTCTGACATTACCTGTACCTGTAGCTTCTGGCGAGCGATCTTTTTCAAAGTTAAAAATCATTAAAAATTATTTAAGATCGACAATGCTTCAAGAAAGATTGTCTGGGCTAGCGATATTAGCAATTGAACAAGAAATTTTTGATGGTATAAATTTTAGCGATGTAATTAATGAATTTGCAGTAGCAAAGTCTCGGAAAATATCGCTGCTACAATAGCTATTTTGTATTTTTATATTGTACCTAGCTATCATTTTTGATTTTATAACGAATTTACCTAGGTATTTTTATCACAAGTATCTGCATAGCA